ACTCTTTCCGTCATCCTTCTTTTTTTCCTTCTTCTTTTTCTTCTTTTCTAGAAAGTATTTTTTAAAAGTATGTAAAAAAAAAACAATACCTCTACAAAGTACTTTTCGTAATTATAAAAATATTTTTTTGAGAAATTTTTTTCCAAAATATTAAAATTAATGTTATAGAAACTAAATGCATGTAAAAAAAAATGGTGCACAGAAATCTTAAAATTTTATATTTTAGAAGAAAAATTACAATTCTAAAATTTTAGTCTATTTTGAAATCCTAAAGAATGGAGGAAGCAAGTGCTTATAAAAGGGGTGAGTGTTTGCAAAAAAAATTTGAACATTCAATTTTAAAAATTGATTTTGCAAGTAAATATTTGGCTTGTCATATATACACCTCTTCCTTCTAAAACAATACTTTCTAAAAAATATGTAAAATATATATTTTTGTAATTATGAATATATTTTTTAGAATTTTTTTTCAAAACACTAAAATTAACATTACAAAAATTGCATGCATGTAAAAGGAAGGACATGCAAGAATCTAAGAATTCTATATTTTTTTGAAGAAAAATTAGAATTATAAAATTTTAGTCCATTTTAAAATCTTAAAAAATGAAATATGGGGATGCATATGAAAGAAGTGAATGCTTGAGGAAAAAAATAAATATTGAAAACAATAGATCAAGGGAACGCATGTAAAAGGAGTAAAAAGAAATTGAATATTGGAGACAAAAAGATAGGAAGGAAGTGAATGTAAAACAAGGATAAGTGCTTGGAAAACAAAAATTGAACTTCGTAAAGTCGATTAATTATAAAATTGAAAAACATTAAAGGTGTAATTTTATGTATAGGTTATTTTCTTTCCCTTCTTATAATTTATAGTTTTTCCCTTGTTTTTTCAAATTTCTCTATTCTCTTTATTTTCCATTTCCAAATATTCAAAACCCAAATCAACTCAAATTAATTTTATAACTTTAAATATTCATACACAATTTATCTAACTCAAACCAATTGCAATAAGGTTGGATTGAATCAAGTTGTGTAAAATTTAACTAATCTCACTCAACCCAACTCAATCAAACTATTAGTTTAAACCCAAAATCATGCAAAACCCAACAAGTAATCACTAATCACTCTTGCCTCAAAAAGGGAAATCAAGCCAAAATTTACCTTTTAAAAAAAACTCCTAAACATTAAGCAATTTATTTATTAAAAAAAAGGTTAAAAACGAAAACACCAACTTTGCTTTCTCTCTACAAACTCCCTGTCCCTCTCCTTTTAGGTTTGATTTGAACATTAACTTTATTTTTCAAGTCAAAAGAAAACGGAAACAGTCATAACCCATGTTCTACTCTTGCTCCCACCTTCGATTATCCAGCCTTTTGAGTAGCGGAAAGGCTCAAATCTCATGACTTACAGCGACATGAATATGACATCATACCCATAAGCATATAGCAGGTTGGTTATATGCTATTGTTCTTTCTCTAACCAAAAAGCACGAAAAGGTTGCATTCACAGGACAACAGATATTTTAGACTCCTAACAAAATATCAATGATCTTACTAGAAGAATACAAAATCATCATTATCATTCACGCCGTGACAAATGGACTAGAAACAAAATAATAAAGTCACTTTTATCCAAAAGTCATTGTTTTCATACCTCAACTCAACTGCAGTTGATTATGATTTATGGGGCTGTTTTATTTTATGGAAGAAAAGAGGCCACCATTTGGAAACGGGCTTCGTTAAAATGTTACTAGCAATTCCAACAAAATATTTTTGAGTAACACATGGCAGAGTGCTTATTATATATATATTTCACATAATCAAACTGTACACAACTACACAACAATTACATTTGCAGCCCATCACATGTGACCAAAATAATAGTCAGTGAACAAACAAATCATATACCATGTATGTAATAAAGGTGGCACCAGTTTATGAAACCTTTGAGGAGGCATTAATGTGCATATTTGCATCTTCCATTTCCCATGGCTTGGGACCTTTGGTTGAGTGAATTATATCACAAATAACAGGCTGGCTACTTGTTAAAAACGATGCCAAAATTCACCTTACAGGAATGTACAAAGTTGTAAAGGTGAGCTCGTGTTATTTGAGATATAACTTCAGTGGCTTCGGGAAATTATGTCAATTCACACCCCCAAGTTACAGTCCGCATAGCTAGCATAATAAACAGCTCCCATCTGTCAGGAGCCTGTCTCCGATGGGAGAAGAGACTGTTGTGTACCTTTGACAAAGATGGCAAGCTCTGTGGGTGCCACCACTAAGCTTAGCCACTCCTGTAGCTCTTCGCCCTCAACTTTCTCTTTTTCTGAAGAACAAGCACCATTAGAACATGATGACTATGCCAAAATGAAGTGGTTCAACTTCAACATCAGTATCATATACATTACTACATTCATGGAAGCAAAACAATGCTAACATCCCAAATTGATCAAAATCCCTTCACATGACCAATGTACTGAATAATAAACTCCAGGTTGAGTGAACTTGTAGGCTCAAATCTAATGTCTACTTCTGTTTGATTGGTTACAAAAGCATAAAACCCAAATCTAAAATCAAATTCTTCTGTGCAATTTCAACTGATAGTGTAATGACATAAGTAAAAATACAAACATGTGCATGTAAGGTAAAATGAGCATTTGTCCATACTTCAAGCAACACAGCTCATGCCAGGGAGCATGTAACACTGGTATCAAGAGTTATGTACTTTAAAATTGAAGTATAATTCATCATATTCTTTAAACAGTAAAAACTGTAACTCTAAACATACTTGTCAAACATTTAAATGGCTTGTTCAAAAAATCTAATTTAAGCATGCTAAAAGATTTGCATGTATTCATTGCCATTGTTTGGCAAACATTAAAAATAGCCAGCATAGTTACCTTCCAAATGAGCACCAAGACCCTCCAAAACAGTAGGATTAGCTCGAATAATGGAAAGTGCTACAGACAGCGCAGACTGCAGTAATGTTTGCACCTCTCTTTGGACAAGGTCAACAAGATGTCCCTGTTGTGTTCAGACAAAAATCAGAATATGCAAAAACTTGAATAGGAAGAAAAAAGTTACTGCTGTGCAGGACCTGATCCCTTCCCCAAGGAACTGCTCCCCCAGACTCATCAATTCCACCACTAGAAAGAGTGGCTATTGACACGGGGCCTATGGTCTGATTAAGACCATATTCAGCTATAGCCTTATATGCCATGTCAGTTGCACGTCGTATGTCATCAAGTGCACCTGTTGACACTCGACCAGAATAAACAACTTCTTCAGCTGCGCGTCCACCAAGAAGGGTCACCAGGCGACCATGCAACTCATCAACGAATAGCAAGTACCTATCCTCAGTTGTTGGAGGAGTATAAGTAAAGCCCAAAGCCCCTCCTGACCTTGGCAATATACTTAGTTTCTGATGACAAACACAAGATATTTAGGCATTGAATCATCCTTAAAATATTAATGACTAATGATGAGCGACATAGAAATTTCTAAAGTACTCCTAGTCCCGTATTGTCCAAGGTTTATTTACACAGACCAAGAAAAATTAATAAAATAGATGAAACAGAATAGTAATTTACAATACTAACCTTATTAATCATTTTTTAAATAAACAATGAAACACAATAACTTTCTAAAAAATATTATTAGAAGGTAAGGTAATATATATTGCATTAAAATAAACTAAAATGAAACTTATTTTTCCTTCTTACACAACACAACACTTACTGTGAAATGGAATAAATACAACTTAATACACAAGTAAGCAGCAAATTTTAAAGAGTAACTTCTACAACTGCAAGTGAAGATATTAATTTACCAATAATATATGATCGATAAGCAAAATGAACCACCTAAACTTAATGGAGTGTGGTATAATACTTTGCTTCCAGAAGCCTCCTATTTAAGATTTCCACCTTGTTTTGATTCACCAAAACAGATATAATTTCCAAACATAACCAATGCAAACATGAATATGAAAATTAACCCATCCACCTCATCTCTCTCATCCCCAACCACCTAAAGGTAAGCAAAACAATTTCTAGTCACATGCTAATATACTACGAATCCCAAAAGCATAGCAAGCAAATTCCAAAAATTAAAATAGGCAAATATGCGTAATACAAGCTCAATCTGCATATCTGTAAAGGCAGTGATATTTTAGTTTCCAGTAATAGAGAATCTTCAATGGTTTACCTCAACACGTGGCTGTCCAGGAAGCAGCTTTGCAACTGCAGTACCTACTACAGCATGACCAGCCTCATGTCGTGCAACTACAGCCTTCTCACTTCCTCGTAACTTGGCAGTCTTCTTTTCTATGCCCTAAAACAAATAATTTGGTTCATATTCACCACAACTGAATTTCAAATTAACATTCATTTGACAGTTAGAAAAATCTTACCAAACTACATGTGAAAACAGTCAAGTGTGTAAAAATTAGAAACATAAACATTCAAGAACGTTAGAAGAACCAAAGGTCAAGAGTGAATGTTGGTCATTATTAGAATACAAGAGCTTGAGTAAGTTGCTAAAGACCAACTAATTAGAGTCACCTATAAGCGACCAAGAGCAAGTACAACTTACAGCTATAGATCTTTCTACAGCTTGGATGAAATCAAATTTCTCCACCACAACTTTATTTTGTCTTCCAGCCAGTAAAGCAGCCTCATTTACTAGATTTGCAAGATCCGCTCTGTAACAATGTAACAAGCAAGGTTGTCAAAATCAGGATTTACCTTAAATCAGGAAGGTGGGAAAATTAGTAAATAGAATCACAGGGTTTTACAAAATTCATAGTGTCATGCTAATATGCATCATAGTACTTAATAGAGACAGGAAGTGGTCACCTCCAAAAATGCTATAGAAAGTTAGCAAAATGACTTGCTATCACTCACACACACACACACACACACAATGCTGCAGTCTTGCAGATGCTTCTAAAGCAGCAGCAGCAGATTCAATGTTAGGGTTCACAGTTGCACAAGAGGAAGAAAAAGCTTTGAACAGTGTTGAAAACAATTTTCATAATTATGACTTCAATCCAATTTCATACTGTCTGTGATTTCATTGGCATTTTGAATCTTTCAGAGGGATTAAAATATGATTTTACTATTTGAATCCCAATTTTGACTACCATGGTAACATGTACAACAACAGTAGTCTTATCCAATAATGATGTAAGAAGTTTCCAACCGAAATTCCAATTTCTACATTTTGAAAAAAGTCTGTGTGCAGGGGGAGGAAGCATACTTACCCAGTAAAACCAGTGGTCATACAAGCAATGTCACCAAGGTTAACATCATTGGCTAAAGGAAGTTCCTTCTTGGAAACATGAACTTTTAGGATGGCTTCTCTTCCAATCCTATCAGGTGTTTCCACCTATAATGAATCATAGAGTTTGTTAAAGTTATGCAATGTTGATAATTTTTTCTTTTAACATCAGCATTAAAATTACACGAGGTGATGTATTAAAAATTAAAAACACAGACCATAACTACACGATCAAATCTTCCAGGACGGCGAAGTGCAGGGTCCAAGACATCTGACCTATTAGTAGCCCCAAGAACAATCACTGCAGAATTGCTGTCAAACCCGTCCATCTCCTGCAGTGCAACTTTCACAAATGAGCCTCATTAGGGTAGTTTTACTTAAAAAATTATTTATTTCCATTCACAAGAAACTGAGAATGCCAAAGGAATGCTGACAGTGAGCAACTGATTTAAGGTTTGCTCTCGTTCGTCATTGCTGACAATGCGAAATTTACCATCACGACTTTTAGCCACAGCATCTATCTGCATACCAAAAGAAATGCTGATCAGTTTAATTACATAATATATATTGAAACAAATCATCCTACATAACAAAAAATATATATATTGTTATACCTCGTCAATAAAGATTATGGACGGAGCTTCCCTTTTAGCCCTTGCAAATAGATCTCTTACACGGGAAGCACCCATGCCAACATACAATTCTACAAACTCACTAGCAGAACAACTTATAAATGGCACATCAGCTTCCCCTGCCACAGCCTTTGCTAGTAAAGTCTTACCTGTGCCAGGAAGACCCACCTGTAAGATAACCAACAGATATTCACTGCCTACATACCAATCTAAAACAATATTAAAAATTCTAAAACATGCAGAAAAGACATAAGTGAAAACATTTCAAGAATTTATTCCAAAAGCTAACTATGCCATGCACAAAACAATATTGGTCCTCTTTATTGCAAGTAAATTATCTCTTAAATATGAGAAAGAACTGTTAGTATAACAGTATAACACAGTACGCAATCCTGCAAGATTTAGCCCAACCCCGTCAAATTTTCACATGTTACACCCCTTCTCAAATTATTCACCACTACACAGTGTTGGCTAATACAATATGATATGGTTTCGTCCTGGGATATGAGCACAATTTATCGGATACTCTAGCTATAACTTACCAAGAGAACACCACGAGGTGGGCGAGCACCAAGCCTTATGTATCTGTCTGGATTTCGAAGAAACTCCTGGCAAATGAACATTAGCATAATCAAAATTAAAACCCAGTGTCACCAGAAAAACTACAAATGAAAAAATAAGATTAAGCTGCACTATAGAAAACCTCTAAAACGCCCTACAGACTGTAAGCGATGAAAATGATAAAAGAGTCCAGCTTACCACAATCTCTTCTAACTCCTCTTTAGCTTCATCAACACCAGCTATATCAGCAAAAGTGACTGTTTCACCTTGATCAGATGACTTCATACCAGCAGAAATGCCTGATTTGCGGTTCCGAATCTGTCCAGCAGTATGCTACACAAAGCATACAATTGTTAAGAAGTCTATCCTTTTAAAGCTGTAGGAAACATAAGTTGTATAAGGTCCAAAGAATTACGATGGGGAAAGAATGCAAACTCACACCTGAGAAAAGCTTACAGGGAATCGATGGAGAAGCCCTGCAAGCACAGCAGCATAAAACAGGGCTATCTGTGGATATGAGAATGAAGTCAATATACTATGTGACATATCATCATACACAGAATCTACCTCGAGAACCAAGGGAATTCATAACCAATTGAAATCAGAAGGTGAATATTTTGAACCAGTGATACAATATTTAATTGACAACGTGAAACTAGTGACTGCAAAAATAACCTGGTCATAAACTACAAATACAAAATATTGCATACTTAACTAATTTCAATTTTTTTCAGTTACTGTGTTCAGATTCCCCTCATGAAGTCAATGTAAAAAATTAGCTTCTATTAAAAAATCAACGTAATTCAATGCTTTAAGAAATTAATACTCCAAATGGAGAATTGTAGCTTTCTGAAAATTATACTTCTAAAATAGTATAAGGATTTAAAAAGGATGGGAGCTGCATCCACGTTTCTAACTGCTCTTCAAGGAGAAGAAAACACGCGGGTCCCTTTTAGTCCTGCTCCTTCATCGTAGCTATTGATATTGAGCATTCACGGAGTTTAAAAGTTTTGGTAAAATGATTGCTTCATTCTCAGAAATATCCATAATTCTTATTCCTCTGGTCTCAAAAAGTTTTATTCAACCAAACGCACATCAATTGAGGTACATCAAAAGTTTCCAGCACCACAGTAATAATGCTAAATCTAGTTCAGTTCAGTTCAGTTCTCACTTCCTATAGCTCTAAAATCACAGACACAACACAAGTGCTGCAACATGCTTACCAATGCAGAGTTAAAGAACCCGCCAGACCGCTTATCCGGCGACCCAAACTCGACCTCATTCTCCAGCATCTTTTCATAGGGAGTTCTGATATCACTTGGCCTTGTGGTAGTGTAAACTATCCTCTTAGTTGGTGCAACACTCTTCACCAAAGACTCTGATTCCTGCAACCTATTACTACTACTACTACCACTCCCTGAAACAACATCACCACCATCATGGCTTGTTCCAACACCAGCCTTCAACTTGAACATGATGTGGACCCCATCAACCTCCACCTTGTGCACCTGATCACTATTGACCCTACTCAAAAACTCGCTATAAGGCACACTCATAAACACCGTCGGAGCCTTGGGGTCCGACCCGGGAAGCGGAATTCCGGGTCGGAGCAACCGCATGACAAATACCACAATCCCTAATTGCAGAAGCAAAACCCCAATTTCCTGAACCTGAATCAGGGGCTGCCACCGCCACCGTCGCCACCGCGACCACCACCCGCCCTTCCCGTGTTTCTCCTTCCCCCGGTCCGGGCCGGCATCGTCTTCGCCGCCGGCCTTCTCCTCGCCGGAATCCGCCGCGGAATCGGGTTCTCCGGCGGAACGGCACATCCATGATGATGTCCGGGGTCCCCACGGAACGAGCCTGGGCGAAATAAGGCACCGGAAACGACACGAGGTGGGGTTGAAACGACGGAGGGTGTGGTCAAATGGTGAAAGGGAAACCCTAGAATTTGCGCGGGAAAAGGGTTGGTAGGGTTTGCATTTTGCGTGAGTTAGGGGAGAGAGATAGTGATAGTGATGGTCTAAGGGTAACATTCGAAGGGAATGAGTGAGACCCAGAAACGAAAAATCGGAACTTGGAACGTGGGTATTGGTGTTTGCAGAGAGTGGCAACAATGGTGGGTGAGGAAGAGAGAGACAAAGCAGAGAAGGTTATTACAAAGGAAACGAGAACCGTTGGATTGAGTGAAGACTCGGAAGATCCAAACCGTTGATTTACTTGTTTTTGACACAATAGTCAATGGTCAACAATACCTATCGTTCACGTTTTGTTTTTCTCTCGTGCGTTTTTTTTAATTGGTTTTATTTTCTCAATTTCAAACGCATGGTGTATCTGCGTCAGATTCAGAGATTACCATGCGTTTTAAAATGTTATTTTCCCCCTTGTTTTGAGTAACTAAATATATTATGTCATATTCTCAAATAAAAATATTCTTAGGGGATAGGAATTTGAAGAGGCTTCTTGGAAATGTCTTGCCAATAGATTCAAATTCACATAGTTGGAGGATTAGACCATAAATTAAAGTGTGAAAGGGAAATTATATTTTGCATAAATTATGTGAATAATATAGAAAAAGTCATCATTAAAAAAAGTTACATTTTGAAGAGTGATATAAGTGCATGGTGTAGGTAATAGGTGTTTGGTTTATTATACATTGAAAGTTAAGGACCAGCAAACTAAACAGGCTACTAGATGTGTAAATTTGGATCGGCTTAGCTTGTAATTGTGGCTGGGTTAGGTGGAACTAAGGGCATCTTCAATGGAAGCAATTCATTTGAGTTGCTTCATGCATTAGAAACTGAAAAAAATGGTTCCTAGTGTGTCATGTCAGCATTAAGCAACTCAAACAGAAATTTACTCCAATGATAAGAAACTTTAAGAAATTCAACTTTTAGAATTTTTTTTTAAATCATTTATGAACCAAATTAAAATTTTTATTAAAAAGGACAATTGCACTACAATAAAAGAAAATAAATAAATAAACATTAGTTTTAGAATATTTATTTATTTATTTATTTATTTATTTATTTTTATTTATTTATTTTTATTTATTTCTTATTTTTAACCCAACGACTCTTTTTCAAGATTTTTTTTTCCTTTTTCTTCAAATCCCAGCAAACAAACACGGACATGAAAACTTCACAGAAGCGGCGCGCACCCTCACCAGCACCACCCTTCACCGTCGTCTTCCTCCACCACTATGAGCTGCTACCAGAACCAGAAGCGGCGCGACCCCCTCTCTCACTCTCACGCTGCAACGACGCGCACGTGCTGGAATTCCTTTGGTACCTCGTCCACCCGCGCGCCTCCGCCGTCCACCCGTGTGCCTCCGCCGTCCACCCGCGCGCCTCTGCCGTCCACCTGTGTGCCTCCGCCATCCAACTGTGCGCCTTCGTCGTCCAACCACCGCCTCACCACCATGCCTCCTTTCGTTCACAAAGGTAAGAAATGGTTGCTTCACTAAGCAACCATGTCTCTTCTGCAAGAAACTCTTGCTGCCACGTCATACTGCTCCAATGGTAAGCAACTGAGATTGGAGTTGCTTGATGGGCCAAGCAACCTCCATTGGAGTTGCTCTAAAAACTAATTGATTTTTATCATTTTCATTATTAGGTAAAGAGACATTCTGAATTTTTTTACGTATTTTTTTAAAAATATAATAATAATAAATAATAAATAATAAATAAATACATATTATTTCCACTAGAGATGTAATTAATTTGAGATAAATATAGGAATAAAATATGATAAAAATATTTGCACCAAAATTACCACGATTAAATTTGTGCTAATGGAGAGGTAACAGTATAAATTTAGTTAGATATTGGACATGTGGCACTATAAGTCGACCAATTGGTTTTCAAGTACTTAAGGTTGGGTAGTGGTCCTCAGAGTGTAAGATCTCTGGTCAATGGTCCAATTAATCTTAAAGAGAAAAAATATAAATAATCTCCTTTTAGAACTAAGCTTCATAAATTCATTCTTCAGGATTCTAGAAAAATAAATAAGAGAGATACTTTCTATAGATTTTTTATTTCTTCTTCTTCTAGTTTTCCTCGAGGCGTGAGAGGTTTCTTGAATCCCCAGTGTAGCGATTCAAGCATTCAGAAGCTGAGAATCCGAGTATGAGTGGTGTGGAGCTTGGAAGCTTAGAGTTCTCCTTTCCTTTTCTTCTTCTTCTTCAAAAATATTGGAATTTGAGGTAAGGGAAACTAGGAAGTGTTTTTAATGAATGACTTAGTTGAATACCTTGAAGGGATTGTGGATTGCATGTGTTTTTATGGTGAAACTACATGAATTTGGGGCTAGGTATGTTGAACTCGAGTGGTTGGGTTCATAGAGGTGAGACTGGTGATTTCAATTGATTTTTTTGTGGTATGTATTTGTTTAGCCTTAGTTTAAGTCATATATGATGTATATGTAGTGTTGGAGGCCTTACATGTCTTGGATTTTCTGAGCTTTAGGTGCTTAGGGAAAATTTTGAGATCTGCATTATGTAGAAATCATAGTCACGTCGGGCATGCCTTCATGACTTCGAGCATAGTTCCAACCAGAGTTTTCTATCTTGGTCATGTTAGACGCAAGAGTGGTGGTGTCAGACATGAAGAGAGAGACTTATCTTGGATTGAGGATGACGTCAAACGTGGTTTGAATGACACCAAGGGTGAGGGCAAGGGAAAACCTATAACTTGGTGACGTCGAGCATCACTAAGGTGATACCAGACGTGAGTCAAGCAAAGATCTTTGTCTAATATGAGGGCGGTCGTGGGTTTGCCACATCAGGTGTGAGGTCTAGGGAGTCTCCAGCTCAATCACACTAGGCATGGTTTGGATGGCATCAGGCATGAGCGAGGCAAAGAGTTTTCTACCTCAATGGCGTTGAGCGTGAGGTATATTACGTCGAGCGCGGGATGCCTGAATGATGGGTATGCTTTGGAATGTTGTGTAATGAACATTAATAGATGTATGAATTCTATTACATGTTGTATGATATATATATATATATATATATATATATATATATATATGTGTGTGTGTGTGTGTGTGTGTGTGTGTGTGTGTGTGTGTGTGTATGTGTGTGTGTGTATGAAATAATGTAACTAAAAAATAAATGAAATAAAAAAAAATAATGAGTTAAATTATTAGCAAAATAAAAAGATTGTAAAGATAATGATGAAAAGGTTCAATTAAATCATGATTAAAATAAAGAGACAAAAAGATAGTTTGAATTTTATTAAAATAGATATTCTCAAGACGATTATGAATCAATTTGAAAAAGAGAGATGGAAAAGGGGAAAAAGAATCAAATAATTACTATGATACCATCGTGTTTTCAATTGAAAATGATATTTTTTTGTTTTCAAAATTGAGTTATTTTTTTAAAACATTTCACATGAAACATTTTATGAAATTAAAATAAACACATTTTCAAGTTTATTTTCTCTTTTCTTTGAAAATGGAAACAAAAAACAGTAAGTGTTAAGATTTCTATTTTCTTTTAGTAATTGTTGTTGGTTGAATTATATTGCATTTTGTGTTTTTAACTAATGGATTAAATTCATAAGGTTCTATGCAAGAAGCAGAAGAATATTTTGGAGCCATTCTTTTTAATCAGAGTTTATGATGGTGAATTTTGATAAGAAATGTGCATTTTTTTATATTTAACTCGGTCAATAGTTATTGTTACCCTTCCCTTAACCCTATGTGTAACAAGTAGTGGAAAACATGTCAAACCACATCAAGCTTTGCAAAAACTATGTCTGACCTACAACAAAATTGCTAAGTTTAAACATAGTATGTTTTCTTGTTACAAACTTTTTTAAGGTATGACTTGACTTATGCAAAAGTTTGGTAGTTTAAAAAAAAACTTTTATGTGACTTATTTTGTGCAAGGCTTATAAATTGGCATAAGTATTAAATATATTGTTATTATTCTTAATTATATATATTAAGTAAAAATATTGATTATAAATTAATATAAAATATTACTATTTATATTTTATATAGGTTAATCTATCATATCTATTCTAGGTTTTTTAAACTCTAAAGTTTGACCATTTTGTTAAAAAATATTTCTAAAAGTTTAACTCTAATCATTTTAATAAATAGGTTAGGTCAAGCCTTATGTAGGCTAGATTGTGAGTCTTAATAGACTGTTGAGCCATTTCCACTCTTAATAACAAGTGTTTTATAGATTCGGGTTTCCCCTTTTATATTGATAGTTGGTGTAACACTCATGTTTTGATGTGTCTATTTTATAGGAGTTGTGTGTGTTAGGTTGGGTCAACTAAAGGAAGTTATAAAAGGAGTCCTCTTAAATTTTTGACTAATAACTCAATTTTTAAAAAGTATAGAGAGAGGAACTAGTGAGAAGTGCTATGGGAGAGTAAAATTTTTAAAAAGTTTAGAGAGAGGAACTAGTGAGAAGTGCTATGGGAGAGTAAGTCTTCTCCTTCTTCTTCTCAAGTCGAGGAATCCTTTTTCTTCCTCCCTTATAGGTTATCAGAACCTCGGAGGTGAGAATTCCAAGATGGTGAAGTTGAGAATCTCTTCACAAAGTCATGTAGAGCTCTCTCGTTCAGGACTTTAGTCAAATTCTTTTTTCTTCCTCTTCCACTGATTGAGGTAAGGGAAGCTTGGTTTTTTTTTTATCCTTTATTGTTGCAAGTTGAATGTGTTGTTGATTTTCCTATTGGTGGCTAATTATATTGATATTTGGAGTTGCCATGGGGATTTTGGAGGTGTTTGGGGTTTTGGGAAAAAAAAATTGATTGTGTTGATTTCATACCCAAATTCTTTTTGTAAATTGTTTTGTTGTTAGAAATGAAGTATTAATGATGTTCATATAAGTTTTATTGGTTTGAATTTGATTTTAGAGCTTATAGGTGAGCTTGGGATGGATTAGAGATGTTTGGAAACCCCAAAATCATGAGCAATAGAACTTGTCTCTATCATGAATCTGTTGAGCAGTTTTGAAATGATTAAGAGGAATTAGGGATGAGAATATTGTTGTCTTTGGAAGAAATCTGCTGAGATTTGAAAGGGTTGAGTAGAATTGTGGTAGAGACTACCTGATTTAAGATTTGTTGAGCAAAATCAAGAGGGTTGAGCGGATCAATACTTTCTGAATTAGACTTTATTGTCTTAATAAAAGTTATAGCCCTAGATGTTAGCTTTCCAATGGCTTTATAATCACATAAAAATGGGGTTTATAACTCCAATAATGTTTGTTTTAGTGAGCAAAGGTTAAATTATCAGCATTTAGGCAAACTTTTGCGGTTTTTGTGATTTTTAGTATAGTAGATGGTGGATTTAGAACTTGAAGTCTTTACTAGAGTTGTAGATAACCTTTTAACTTTCATATGAGATAAATATGAGTTTGATTGGATTAGTGAAACTCTAATTGTGTTGTGTTATGTGAAGATTGTCATTGTATGATAGTTGATTTTGATAAATTGTGTGTTGATATGGCTTGTATGATGTTTTAAGTTGTCTTATAGTCGAATGAGAATATATAAACTGTATGATGAATGATGATAATTATGTTGTTAAGGCAAAAATGGTTTATGGATATGTTGGATATGTTATGACGTGTTATAAGTTGAGTGGTGTAAGTTAGTTGATGCATAAGTTATAAGAATTGTATGTTATTAAGTTGTTGGAGATGTGTGATGAAATGATACATTGACAATATAAATGGTTGTATGTTGATGTTTTTATATGATGAGTTAAATGTAAAATATTGTGTTTATTATTGTTGATAAGTTAAAAGTTGGTATACATGTTGACAGATGGTTAAGTTGTAAATATGTAAGCTGATATAATATGTTATGTTGTTGTGTGGTTAAGATGTAAGTTAAATGATGTTTAAGTTATAACAATGTATAATGGTAAGTTGTTAAATTGTTTAATTGTTAGGCATATGATTGTGATACATGTTTATGTTCAGATACATAGGAACTTGAGGATAGTTAAAGATATTTCTGAACTTTAATATCTCATTGTGTAGATATACATTATGTTGAACGCTTCAATTAGTAAGTTAGCTTTTAAATGGATATGTTATTTTTAGTTGTCTCCTCTAGATTCCATGTGGTATTTATATGTGGACAAGTTTTAGACATACATGTATAAAGTGACCACGGTAAGTAAAGTCAAGTTATACTAATTATAAATGACCAATTGAGTAAAGTACAAAATTGGAGACTTAGTCCTTATTTGATTATTAGAGGATTGTTATATATGGAGGGTACTTAGTGGGTTAATCTCATAGGGGGTTTAGTGTTCCAAGTTAATGTTGTGGTAGACTCATACCCAAACTGTTCTACCTTGACATAGTATCATACTTTCTAGTTTAAGTGACAAAACTTGAGAAATCAATCTAATTTATGCTAGCCATTGTTTCTAGCCTTGTGTTACCCGTTATTTTTGGCCTTGGTATTAGCTGTTGTTTTTTGGTATTATACCAATCGTTGTTATTCAATAGGATTAATTCACTTAAATTTTTCACCTCAATTGTAGGAGATCTTCATGGTTAATATGTGTGATGACACATCAATTGTATATCTACGTTTGTTGAATGTGTTGAATGGATTGAAGTTGTATGAGTGATTGTATTGTTGTGGTTGTTTGTGATGTGTTGGTACTCGTCGTTGTCTATGCTACTTGTTACATAACTAGTGCTAGTTATATATGTATATATGTGTACGCAAATGTTGTTAAGTTGAAGGTGCAAAGGTGTATGAGTTGCTATACCATGAACGATATGAACGTAATATTGTATGAAGATGATGTATTGTTTGATAACTGTGGTGAAATTACCTAAGTTACATAGGTACTTGGCTACTTTAAGTTGTATGGCAATACATGATATGATGTAATGAATGATGTTCATTTTAAGTTGTTTGTGTTACATGTTGTATGACGTTGCCTTTGTATCCCAATCTTATCCTGGTAGGTACGACAGTAAGAAAGGATTAGTGGACCAAGTCGTACTATTTAGTGATGAGCCACGTTGGAGGTGACTCTTTTTTGGATGTTATTACCTCGAGGTAGTTAGGTCTTATATAGATGTTTAATCAGTGACTAGGTTTATTTTATATATATTAGTTACTTCTTTCGTATGAAGTATGCATATATGTTTAGGAACAATAATTTTATTTCTTACATATATGATTACTTGTATGAAATTTACCTAATAGTTGCATGATATTCTAAGCAAATTTTGATGTTTGTGTTTCTGCTTAGTTGATACTAGATTGTAATAAGAGTAGTGATCAAACATATTGTTACAATTGGAAGTTTCAATTTTTTTTTCATTTGACAAAGAAATAAAAAAAATGTTAAGATTGTATTTTTTTGGTTTATAATTTTTTCTCTCTTTAGAATTCACTTATTAAAAAATATATAACGATTTTTTGTTTTTGGTTCTAGGAATTTGTGATCTAAATTTTAAAATTAAAACTTATTAAAAAAATGAATTTAGTTTTTTTTTAAAGTAAAACTAAATTTAGTTAATCAATGATAGAATTGTACCAAGAAAATATAATTTTGAAAATAAATAAATTTGATCATTCTCCCACTTTATATAAAAAAAATTATATGTAGGTTTAACATATAAAACATATCTTCATTTACATGTTATATCATATATATATATATATATATATATTGGAAGCGTATCAGGTAAGAGTGTATTTTATTGTGAGAGATGGGAGGGTTAAAATATAACACTTAGATTAATTTAACGAATCAGATTAAATTAGATAATTAAATCTCTAACCACTAAATACTTTTTTGCTCCTTCTTCTGTTACTCCCTAGGCACGGGGCTAGAAGATCTACTAATTCAAAAGGGAAGTGCACGAAAAATTGGATTTTCACAATAAGAACCAGTGGAATGGACCCTTTCCTCATGCCAGCAGGGGAAAGAAAAAAAGCCCATTACGAGAGGAGAGAGTGATTTAGTCGCTAACAAGCGCAAGTTTTTC